ACTTAGCACCTACGTTCACCAAGAACTTACCAAGGCCACAGGCCGAATGATCAGACCAGGCGCCAAGCCAACTGATCAAATCTACAAAACTAATACGACCTGTTCCAACATCATAGCAGGCGTCCGACGGCATCCCTCCGGATGAAATTCGTCGCAGAGAGCAGCTCCCTTTTTGGTGGAACATTGTTCTATAAACTAATTACACGGCACCTATACGACTGTCCCCAAGGGCAACCACGTAGCCGTTTTTGAGACAAGGATAACTCTCTCACTAACCAAACCAGTGGTAGCAGTTGACATCTGAGTCAGATGACCGTCTGTATTACTTGGGATAAATGCAGAGGGTACCTATTGAGTTAATAGCCAACAAACATTGGCGAATCAAGGGGTCTAGCCGGCCTACGCCGCCTGGTACCTCTACTTCTCAAGCAAAAGTGACGGCGACTGAGTAACTCCAACGTTAACTCATAGTCACTCCCTCAAATTTGGTATGGAACCTAAAAGGTTTGAGTAGACCACCTGTTTTTTGGCTAACAGGGGCACTCAAACCCCTATTCCTACTGGGTAACCTATTGAGTTAATAGCCAACAAACATTGGCAAATCAAGGGGATCAGCCGCCTGGTACCTCTTCTACTCAATCTAGATTGTGACGAAGACTAAGTAACTCCTATGTTAACTTAATAGTCACTCAAACTTAGTATGGAGCCTAAAAGGTATGAGTCGTCCGCCTGTTTTTAACAAACAGGGGCTCTCAACCACTACTCTTGCTAGGTTAACAAATTATGAGTTAAAAGCCAACAAACATTGGCAATAAAGGGAAACAACCGGTACCCCCCGCTTGTTATCTCTACTACTCAGTTCCTTAACGACTAGGTAATACTCTATTTACTTGGTCAGACCACTTTCCTACTTGGTTAAATTTACAAATGACAGGTCCGCCTGCCTAAAAAGGATCCAGACAAAATAGTTCGAATATTGATTGGATAAATGACCGACTGATCGTCTATCCTGGAAACAGACAACCAGTCGTCCAGGGGCATAGGCGGCGTACTAACTATCTGTACCTCTCTGCAACGTTCGGCCATGTAAAACAGTCGGTCTAGTAAACAATTGGATATTAGATATGGAATACTTAGACAAAAAGTATAGGCATTTGTCACCTGATCGGCTTAGAAATCTTCCCAAGGCCGCCAGACAACCTGTTAACTTCTGAACCTCTCGGATGGTACGAGGCGACTGCATGTCAATGACCGCCTGCACCTTCTCAGGGTTCGCCTCTATTCCTCTCTGATTGATAAGGAATCCGAGAAATTTCCCAGACTCAACTCCAAATACACATTTCTTGGGATTGAGCATGACATGGTGCCGCCTGAGTGTGGCGAAAGTTTCTCGGAGGTCCGACAGATGATCTTTCTGAAGTTTAGTCTTGACAATCATTTCATCAATGTATGCCTCGACGTTTCTCCCAATCTGATCAAAGAACACAGTGTTTATCATTCGCTTGAAGGTAGCCGGGGCATTCTTAAGACCAAACGACATGACCGTGTAACAGTATAACCCCTGATCAGTGACGAAGGCCGTCTTCTCCTGATCTTTCTTCCATAAAGGAATTTGATGGAAACCAGAATAGGCGTCCATAAAACTCATCAAGGCATGGCCGGCTCTTGAGTCGACCAGGTTATCAATTTTAGGCAGAGGGTAACTGTCTTTGGGGCACGCCTTGTTTAAGTCTGTGTAGTCTACACACATTCGCCAGGTGCCATTCGGCTTTTTAACAAGCACCACATTTGCAACCCAGTCTAGGAAGTAACATTGCCGAATGAACCCCGCATCAAGTAATTTTTTAACTTCGGCGACTGCCGCCTGACTTCTTTCTTCGCCATGGTTCCGCTTCTTTTGCCGTACCGGCTTCTTTTTCGGATCCACGGCCAGTTTATATACCGCCAGATCAGGACTAATGCCTGGCATTTCATGGACTTCGAATGCAAAGATGTCCTTGTATTCTTTCAATAGGTTGTGAAAGTTGTCACCAAGGTTTCTCAGAGCAGTAGTCCCAACTTTGACAGTTCGGTCAGGACGTGAGTCGTCTAAGATCAGGTCCGCATGCTCACCAGCCGGCTGAGGGCGGAACTCATCCGGCCGCTCCTCTGCCAATGATTGCTATTTTCTTGCTTTTCTTGCGGCCCCTGGCTGGGATGCCTTTCTCTTTTTGCCGCCTGCTTCTTGAACAGGCGCACTCTCTTTGTCAATGTCTATTTTTTCACCGCTTGACCTAGTAGCCTTAACAGTGGGCTTGACATCCGAGAGATAGCACTCTCGGACCATCCTCTGATCTCCCCTTAGGGAGCCGACTGTTCCATTATCCCTCTCAAACTTGAGCAACATAAGAGATGGGATTATAACAGCCTTGGAATTATTCAGGGTAGGTCGACCCAGAATCATGTTGTAGGCCGAGAGTTCCTCTACTACCAGGAACCGGACTACCATGTGTCGTCCTTCCCCTTTTTCGCCCAGGCGGATGGGTAAATCTACTCGTCCCAGTGGGTGGACGACTCCTCCTCCAAACCCTACTAAAGGGTGGGAGGCCGGATGTATGCAATCAGTCTGATATTTTAGTTTCGACAGACATTTGCTACTGATGAGATCTGAGGAGCTTCCGGTATCTATGAGGATTCGGCCAACTCTCTGGTTGGCCACTTTACATTCAATAACGAGAGGGTCGTCATGCGGCCCCCTTACCCCTCCTAGATCTTCTTCAGTGATGACAATCTCAGGAAATGAATATTTGGACGACCGTTCTTGGTGAACGGAATTTACATCTAACCGCCTGATATTGTCTTTGTTGCCCCTAATAGTGGGGCCGCCTCCTGAGAAGCCGCCTGCAATGGTGTAGACGACTGCATCATCTGTATCAGAGCTGTCGGCCTGCTGATTCTTTTTGGCCGTCTGCTTTTTCGAGGAAGTGTTCCCCGTAGATTTCTTGACATAAGTGTCAAGATTACCTTGCTCAGCCAGGCGGTCTAGGTACCGCATGAGACTGATGCAGTCATTGGTGTGATGACCAACATCATCATGATAAGCACAGAATTTATCTTGGTTCCGGTTGTTTGCAGAACCCTTCATGGGGACCGGCTTCTCAATTGAGATCCGTCCCTTGATTTCTTTTAGGATAAACTGGTTATCCTTGTTAAACGCATACTTTGGGGAGTATGGTTTGAATTCTTTTTTCTTTTTCTGGGCCGGCTGTTTAGAGGAATCAGCCGCCCAGACCTCTTTTCTTTTCTCATCTTTGTTAGACGACTGTTTCTGTCGTCCTTCTCTTTTGTCGAACCTTTTCCCGTCTGACTGTTTTATCGTACAAAGATCAGTCGCCTGTATATAGGCTTCTGCTTCAATCAAGGCCTCTTGAAGAGTCGCCACCCTTTTTGGAACCAAATCAAATTTGAAGGTGGACCCGTCTTTGAGACCTCTGAAAAAGACAGTATAAGCTACCTCATCCGGTAACCCTTGAATCTGTATTCTCATCAGGTTAAACCGCCCTGATGTAAGAACGAAGCCCCTCCTTCTCGCCCTGCTGAATTGTTCCCAAATCAAGGGTCGTTTTCTTCGCAGGGATGTTCATGGCGAAGTTGGAGGCAAATAAGTAAGCAAGCGTCCTGAAGCTATTTACACAACCAGTCGGCAGGTTGCCGAACCATTGCTGCGCGATTCCTTTGAGAGTCGCTGGGAAACACTTGCACCAAGTGGGATCATCCAACCCTTGAAGGTACATCAGGTTGGTGAATGCCATCAGATGGTCTTCTAGGTTAGTAGTGCCGCCTGACTGACTCTCATGGTACGACTGAGTATGCCTCATCGAGGCATTTCGCAAACTGTCTTGAAAGTTTGAAGTAGAGGCCGACTCTGACAATCGGTCACTCCTCTTCTGCTCTAGCAGTAGCCGAGCATCTGTGAATGTTTGCTTCGACCCGTCCGCCTGAATATGACGAACAGGTTTCCTATTCCCTGTAGGATAACGGAATTTTGTGAAATCAAGGGCAGGTGGCTCCCGCTTCCTAGATTTAGGATGAGGTGTCGCCTCTCGCCCTTGAACTGGCTTCCTCTTCAGTGAATTGGAGGGTTTCTTGGCCGACTGCTCCTTGACTGGAGCAGGCGGCTTCTTGTTGATCAACTCTTGAATCTCTCCCTTGAAGTCCCTCATGAAGGTCATGAGTTCGTTCCTTGTGATGGGAGCAGACCCATCAGTCTGTTGCCGAACAGGCGGTGCGCCTGCTGGCTCACTTCCTGTTTGAAGATGCTCCCGTTCCCTCCTTTCGGTATGGCGGGTACGTCAGGCCCTTAGGGTCCCGTCTGAAGCTGTATGAGCTTCAACTTCAAATTCACTTTCGGTATCATGGTCCGACTGAACTTGAGGGTCGTCTAGGGGACGCCTCTCTTCAGGAGTCGGTACAGACTTGGATGCCATCTCAGAAGTACTCTCCCCACAGGCGGCGCCAAATGTTTCGGGGTTTTCTGATGTCCTGCGGGAGAGTTACAATTCCGAGACTGGAACCGGACGCCTGTACCTGCAAAATAACGGAGACTCCTGGGAGCTCCGCCTCCAACGGTCAAGTTAATACCTGATTAAGGAGTAATTAATGCGGAAATTAAAGTGATTTGGTCTCTCTAGGGGAGAGTGTTTAATGTAGGTAATCTGCTTTGTTAGCGAGATCAGCCGGTTATTACTGTGTGTAATTAATGTGTTTTTCCCGTAATGTTTCTGTTCTCTTTTTTTGTAATCCCCCTTAATGAGGATTAAGGGAGGTATTTATAACCTTGGGAAACGTGCCCATCCTAGGTTTAGGTAAACCTAGGGCCGATTGGGCTTCCCTCGGAAGTTGGGCCTGGGTGGCCGGTTTCTCCATTAGGCATGGAGTATGCCACATGTCTTGACATAACAGGTCCAAGGTGGACGAATAAGCGCGTGCCACGTGGGAAGCCCTGACTGTTCCAACTGGGGGACACTTGGCAGGACCTGATTGGTCCACGTGGCGCATTCCGATTGGTGGGAGCAAAATCCCTTAATCAATAATTATTGAGAAGCTTTGTATAAATTAACTAAAACTTACCTGTGGTTTCTTCCACCTAATTCCTAGATTCTTTTTTTATCTTGATAATGTCTTTTCGATGTTTTTGGCTAAACTTTTTATCCCACTAAAAAAATTAATCAAAAAAATTAGATTAGTAATTATCGATATTGAATTATACGTCCTCATAAATTAAACAATCAACACAAAGAAAGCAAACTGATTTTAAGCACATTATATGTAGATACAATGAATATGTGATGTACTACATACTCATTGATGGTCTTTGGAGAAAATTCACTAATTTCATTTTCTGCTCCACCTGGAACTAGCCAAAACACCACTGCATTCCAAGGACTAATTATCGCAACCATCCAATGCCGACTATATGTAACATTAGTAAGAGAAGTAATAACATTGACATTATTATCATTGAATATCCCAAAAAATAGTTTTATATATAATTCACACTTACTTTTCTTTATAAGGAGCAAAGAAAAGTTGATTAAGATTCTTCCCTTCATTTTGACCAAACACACTTGCTAAATAGTCTGACCGTCCTTCTTTAGTTATTGGTGTTAGCGGAGATAAACAACCAATATCGCAAAATCCATACATTCCAGCAACACTATCTTGTTTACACATTTCGCTCTAAGTACCTTCCACATCAATTAACATATATAATACAAATAATATAAAACTGATAGTTAGAAAGCAATAGAGAAAAGAGGTAAGTCATTAGGCATTTACTTCATAAAGATAGACAAATGTGAAGCTCTAATCTCTCTTTGAAAGCATAATGTATGCATAATCAATTTTAAGTTTATGCTCATGTCCATACACACTTGTTGGGATTGTTATTGATATGCACTCATCATTTTCTTTCATTCTCCCAGCTTCAATTTTGAATTTTCGCAACAAACTAGTAGTTAACTTAGCACAATCCTCATCTCTGATGATATACTTATGAGTAGTGGATGCTTGTGATGATGGTGTTTCTGGGGATGGAGTAGTTAGGGGTTGATCAAGTGGTTTTGCTGTTTGTTCATCATCCTTTAAAGTAAAAGCACAAATTAAAAAGAAAAATGATTAAACTAACATACAACCCGAGACTTCAATAACCACTTTGGGACATAATTTTGTAATATTATAAGAATAAAATTTTACCTTCATCATTGGAAAAATCAAGTGACTTGGCCAGGGAGCAAAACTACCGTTAGCTTGGGACACGTACGTGAACTCTGAGGTTGGACATGGCATAAGAGCTGCTGGCATCACTACTTGATCAACCAAGACTCGTAGAAGACTAGTCACAATCTTAACATTATGAACAGTAATTGCTTGTTCTGATTTTCTTTTTTCCACCTTTCCTTTGGCAACAATATGTAGCTCCTTCTAACTTTGAATTTCCAAAGAACAATCACTCCAACCCTTATCATGTACAATTTGAATTAATATACCATGAGAAATACTTATAATAAGGCTAAGAATGTCATTGAGTATTAAATAATTGAAAAAGAATAATGTACCTCATCAAGAAGAGTATGTTCAATAACACTCACTGGATCATGCCTTGTCAGACCACTTCTAAATTGATTATGACTAATCGGATCATCATCAATTAGCTCATGACTTATTTGAGGAGAAGAAGCACAATTTTTCTCTATTTGCTGATCACTTCACATTAAGTGCTGCACGGGCCAATGAACATGGTAAGGCAAAATCTCCTCCTGGTTAGGTTCCGAAGTACCATTTATTTCAAGGTCTACATGAGCACCAACATTTTTACTTAAATGAGCACCAAGGCCGTTAAAACCAACATTTTTACTTAAATGAGCACCAAGGTCGTTAAAACCAACATTATTGACATCAAATCCACCTACTTGGCCACTTGAGCCACTAAGTTGTCCATTAAGAGCACTAAATTGAGGACCACCAAACCCTTGCATAGGGAAACCAAATTGGGAAGCACCAAACCCTTGGCCACTAAGTAGGGCAACATAACTCCCAAATGGAGTACTCACCGACCCTTGGCCACCTAAAGCACCACCACTTGTTATGAATTGTCTAAATTGATCTGGGTTGGAATTAGGGCTTGATATAATGTAAGACAACAACAAGTTTTGATCATTTCTCATAGTACCCATCTTTTCATCAGATAATTGACTTGTGCCTGCATACGATTTGGAGGTGTTGGTTGGTTGTACCCAAAATATGCCTTATTTGAAACGCCCGATCCAACAGCCCTTACCCGACCACCATGATCAGACTTATTTATTGCTTTGGCTAATACGTCATCCCGACCCTTGGCGGTTATTTCTCCTCTTTGAGCTTGGGCATCCAACGTACTCTGATAAAAAAAATTATTAAAGAAGTAAAAAAATAATAACAAAAAAATTTTGTTATGACCTGTACGCAGAACATGACCCATAATTTGAACTTAAAACGAGAAACTTGCAACTAACAATTTTAATGACTTGAAATTAGAGTTAATTCTTACAATTGCTTGCGCAATTATATCATCAACAGGATTCTCAAATACCATTTGGCCATCTTTTTCTTTAGAATGGGCTTTGTTTTGGGTTTTGTAGCGTTTAACACTACGTGGAAGAGAAACCCGCCCAAGACCCGTTCACTAATTAAAGCAACTAAATACTTAATCACATAATTAACAACATGAGAGAAAGAAAAAGAAAAGACATTCTTACCCTTGACGTGTGCTTCACTCGATTCACGAGCTCTTACTTCAAAGCTCGAGCCTCGCAAGTGCGACGGCCTCCTACGGCTCGCACCCTCGACCCGACTCGAACGGTCTTAATCCCGAAGGTTAGTCCGGACTTGACCAATAAAAACTAGAGTATTACAAACTTAAGGTTTTCTCACTTTACTAAGGAGATGTCTTTTTAGTTTTACTCAAGTGTTCTTCCCAAAAACCAAAACTTGGTATTTATAGGGAATGGAGACTTAATCTCCGCTCTCCCATCAATGTGGGAGATTTGCATTTTCCTTTATTTTATTTTAATCAAAAACAAAATAAAAATGCAATTCAATTAACAAGCTACAAGTGGCACAAGGAGGGAGAGAGAGAGTCGGTGAGGACCACCAAAGGGGGGACCAACTCACCTAGCTCCCCAAGCCAAACACCATCTCCTTTGGTCCCCTCCTTGACCGGTTGTCCATGCCACATGGCTGGCTGGCAGCCTGCCTTGGCTGCCAAGGTTGCGAGCTGGCGCCTAGCACTAAGGTTGGGTTGTCCAGCCAGCATGCCCATGCATGCGTGCAGCTAGCAAGCCATGCATGCGGGCTGATGCCTAAGAGCTGCTATGCGAGTGTGTTGGGCTGTTGTTATGCGATGCCTAGCACGCATAGCGTGTTGCTGCTTGGTGCCTCAACGCTGGCACGCAAGCACAACATGCAGCGATGGCTGGCCCAGCATGGCTAGCAAGCACGCACAATGCTATGCGCTACTTGCTTGCGATAGCGAGGCCCAGCAAGCACTTGCGTGCTGCTAGCCTTGCGATGCTTGCGGGCTATGCTTGGCCATGCCTAGCATGTTGCGATGGCTGGTGCTACTATGCTAGCAAGCACGCCCAGCCATGCTAGCACAGCCACAGCACGCACACACGCATGGCACGCATCTTGCGATGCTTGGGTCATGCGATGTGCGTGTGTTGGGCGATGCTAGGCACACATGGGATGGGGACCTCGCCTAGCCTAGCACTCACATGGCTAGGCCAATGCGAGGCTAGGGCTTGGCTCAAAATTGTCGCTTGCTTGATTCCACGTCTCGTCGAATTCTAAATTCGACTTGACTTGCGACGCTCGGTCTCGACGCTCGCATGCGTGGCTTATGCATTAATATTACTGATCAGAAGGGTTCAGTCAAGATTAAGCCGTAATATTAATTATGCATTAATATTACTGATTGGAAGCGGCCTCGACCTAGGCATTCCGATCACTTGACCTCACTGAAGAATTAGCTTTCTAATAATTTCGAACCCTCTATCGGAATAATACACTTGTTGGAAGGACACCATTCCTTTCACTTTGAGCCAAACTAAATGTCGAGGAACTTGTGTGACATGAGTCCCTTTGTTCTGAAGTTCTTTTACCTAATGTTTGGCAGCAACAAATCTAACATTCAGCTCAAAATTCAGATTTATACTTAATTAAACTGATTTTCCAACTACTTACGATCTCTTCTTCATAGTAAAGGTATCCTAGTCTGCCTCCTCGGTAACTTGTATTCTTTTTCACTGACCTTCCTCGATTCTTTTTGCTTAATTCCTTTGCATTAGATACCATACCTAGTTAGTATACAATATTATCAAATACAAACAATCTAATAAATACTTGTATAGTATAAGAATACCTGAAATGCATCATCTTCGATATATGTCTTTATAAATTTGTTCCAATTAGTTTGCAGTATCATTGGATATTTCCATGGCGATGTTTTCCTTACCACTTTCTTATTTCCATGTACCTTGTATAGCCAATACTTTCTCAATCTTGTCTTGAAGGCCCTCCATCGAATAGAAGCCCTCCCTAAGATATATTTTTTGCGCTTCTCTAGTACATCAAATCCTTTCTGAAAAAAATGTTATTTTTATTAATACATATAATCTGTAAAAAGTAATAATACTAGTAATACATATAAACAACCTCATGCATGTTGAGTTATATTAAAGCATGATGAATTTGCAAAGGTAAACGCTTACTGCGATGATTTCATACTCTTCATCCACTATTTCTTTTGGAACATCACCCCAATTTTTATAGTTAATATTTACAGGTTCACGAGCAACTACACCAATATAAGAAGAAAGGGTAGTGCGGTTTTTTTTATCACCAAATGGAACTCCATATGTAGGATGCCATTCCACAGGGATTTTGGTACCGCTTTGAATTGCTTTCCCCAGCATTGCAAGTATAGTGCCACCTCTCTCTCCTCACGATTATTTTTTTCAGTAGCATCATTTTCTGGATCAGAGGTTGCATTGTTTGTAGATTGACTTGCATGCTTTTTTCTTTTTTGCCATTAAGCTGCCAAAGTACAAAAATTGGGGAAATAAACTTAGAGATATGTGTGTGTGTGTGTATACACTTCCACAGTTAAACTATAATAAAAATAAAATAGAGAAAGAAAGGTTGTTCCATGAATGAAATATGCGTATCAGTATCCTAAATATATATTCAACACACACCTCAGTTTTTTCTAGAATTTGATTTACGATGACGTTTTCGGGACTTTGCCTTTTTAGAATCTATTTCATCCCACATACCTTCATCATGGTCTTGTCTTACATATATTGAAGAATCGCCATTAATATCATCCCCGAGTGGCCCCTTCTTAAAGGTGGATCCTTCCTCCAGATTATCATTTTCATACTCATCTACTGCATGTCGAGGCGAAGGTGAAATAACTATTGACTTTCTCTTATCAGTTGGGTCAGTCACATAAAATACTTGTTTAGCTTGATTAGCCAATATGTAAGGATCTTCTTTATGCCCTTGTTTGTCAAGATTTACCATGATGAATCCTAATAAGTCGTCAATGGAAACGCCACTAGAGTTATCAACCCATTTGCATCCAAATAAAGGTATTGAGAAACCATTGTAAAGCAACTAACTCACAAATTTCTTCGATGACACCATAGTAACGAATTTTACAATAAACAGGTTTCTTATCTTTGACACTAGAAAAATTCATAGCTTCAGCTTCTAAAGTAACTCCACTATTTTGCATAGTACTAATTGCGTCTTGATCCTTGGTGTAAAATGTGCAACCATTAATTATATACCCAGAATAAAAGAAGGCACTGAAGTTAGGCCCATATGCTAAACACTTCAAACAACCAGAAATAGATTCTGGTGACAATTGAAGTTCTTTTATTACTTTTTCCTTGAACCAGGTAAAAAATGTCTCATTATGCTCATTTGTTATGAACTTCTTGCCTTCCGATTATACTTTTTTTTCAAGAAAGTTCTGTGTTGCTCAACATAAGGTGCTACTTCATCCTCATTATGCAAAACATATGTATGGGCCTTAATCCACTTGGCACGAGACAAGTCAGCTTGTTTATAACCAATGATACCCTTCCCATCTATCCTATTATCATGATGAGATATAGGTAGTCCAATAATTTTCACATCTCCTAAAAATTCACTATAAAGTGCAATATCAATTTCGTATTGGACTCGCTCAGCTATACAACCTTTAGGGTAATAAGCATTCATCACATAACCCTTATAGGTTTTCATTTGCCTTTCAAAATCCCACTGAGCTCTCAGATACACAGGCCCACAATATCTTACCTCTCTAACCAGGTGTAGTGTCAAATGAATCATTATGTCAAAAAATGATGGAGGGAAATACATTTCTAACTGGCACAAAATAATGACAATCTCTTCCTCTAAGTCATCTAGTTCTTCAGGATTAATAACTTTGTTGTAGATTGCATTAAAGAAAGAACACAATCTAATGATGGCATGTCGGACATTTTTAGGTAAAATTGAACGAATAGCCACTGGTAACAAATATTGCATCAAGACATGGCAATCATGGGACTTAAAACCCACAAGTTTCAAGTTTTCCATGGAAACAAGGTTGTGAATGTTTGAAGAATAACCCTCTGGAACTTTCACTCCAGCCAAACTCTGATAAAATTCAACTTTTTCTTTCTTTGATAATGTAAAAGCAGCGAGAGGCAAATATTTAGGGCCATCTTTTATCTTTTCAACTAGATGAAGTTCAGCTCTAATCCCCCTGATTTCTAAGTCAGCTCTTTCTTTAGGGCCATCTTTCGTTTTCCCAGATGTTTAACAAAGTACCAATAAGACTATCACACACATTTTTCTCTATATGCATTGCATCTAAAGAATGTCTCACAAAAAGGAATCTCCAGTATGTAAAACGCTAAAAACCACAACACTTCTTGTACCCTTGTTAGGAAGCTTTTTTTTTATTGTTTTTCCCAAAGAGAATCTGAATATCCTTTACCTTCTGAAACACCTCCTCACTAGTGAAGACCTTTGGACAATCATCAAACATTTGTTTCCCATTAAAGGCTTTCTTTTGCTTACGATAACTATGATCACTAGGAAAAAAACATCGATGATCTACATAAGCTGTTTTTCTAGATCCATATAACCAAACTCCCTTGAAACCATCTTCACACAATGGACAAGTTGACCCACCTTTCACTATGTACCCTGACAGATTACCATAAACTGGAAAGTCTTGGATGGTGGTAAACAACATTGCCTTCAAATTGAACATTTCTTTGCGATGAGCATCGTACACCTCTACACCTTTATCCCATAATATGATCAAATCATCAATGAGTGGTTCTAAATACACATCAATGTCATTTCCAGGTTGTTTTGGCCTAGAAATTAACAATGTTAGCATCATGTACATTCTTTTCATGCACAAAGAAGGGGATAAGTTGTAAGTGACTAGAATTACAGGCCAAGTACTATAGGTGCTACAAAGGGAGCAGAAAGGGTTCATACCATCGGTGGACAATGCAAGGCGCAAATTACGTTCTTCTTTACCAAACTCAGGGAACATTGCATCAATGAATGAACATTGAGGGGAGTCGGCTGGGTGCCTAAGAAACTCATCCTTTTTACGGCCATGTTCATGCCAAGTTAACTTCTCAACATCTCCCGAGTTTGAATACATGCGTCTAAACCTGGGTATTATCGAAAAATACCATAATACCTTAGCCGGCACAACTTCTTTTTTTTTTATATCTTGAGGCTTTACACACAGGGCAACTCTCTAATGATTCTCATTCATTATGATACAATATGCAATCATTAGGGCACGCATGAATTTTCTCATAACGCAAGCTCATTGTGCACAATAACTTTTTTGCCTCATAACAACCTTTTGGAAGAACATTATTTTTTGGAAGCATGTCTTTTAATAATTCAAGCAACGCATTAAAACCAATATCTGACCAACTATGACCTGCCTTCAAATTGTATAATTTAAGTAAACCTGACAATCTGGTATACTTGGTGCAACCAGGGTACAACGGCATTTCAGTTAATAAGGTCTGGAGAGCAGCAGGATCCTCAATGATTGTGTCCTCAACTACATGTATCATGTCCTTTAAACGATCACCTTCATAATTAGCATGACCCTCCCTTACACCATCCATAGAAGTGGCCTTAGAGATTCTTTCCCTAGACTCTCCATGAAAAGTCCAATGGGTATATGTTCTATCAAAGGCCCATTTACTAAGATGATTAAGTATTTCATCAACTCTCTTGTGCAAGAAATTGTGGCACATAAAACAAGGACATGGTAACTTGTCTCTGCCTCTACTATTTTTCACCGCAGAAGTAATAAATTCCTTTACACCATCAACATATTTTGGGTCACCTGGCTTTGATGTAGTTATCCAACTTCGGTCCATTTCTACACTTAATATGACATTTAAAGTAACTAACACAATGTTGATCAAATTAAATAACATTTTATAGTGATGTGTACAAAGGTGAGCAGTTCAGTTAAGAGTGAGAAAATAAAAGATTAATAAACAAAAAAAATGGGAATGAAGTAGTAACATATTTTAGTTTTTTTTTATTATTTCCTTTTTATAACTCTGGTAGAAACTCATACCCGAAACTTGATGGCCAAAACCAAAATTGACCCCACTTATAAGAGAATTGGGTTAACAATAATAAATTTCTCAAAATAAACAAATTGACATGAAATCAAAAGGCATGTCATATAATCTGACCCATGTAATAATTGATAGCAACAAAATGTGGTTATTTATTCTTTTCTTCCATGCATATAAAATAACTATAACTAGCAATATAACTATCATATTAAATTAACAAAAGATAGCCAAAAGGATTTAGAGAAATGTTACTTACCTTATCAAAATATGTAGCACCTCAATATAAAAGTCGAAATAATTGATATGTCCAATGCAAATCCACACAAAATGGGCTGCATATACCATTAAAAAAAATAAAAAAGCTAAAAAGTGAATAATATTAATTTAGTATAAGTAAAGGTGAGTATAAGCACAACACATGAAAATATTAATTGATTACATGGTATACAGAGAGTTAGAGACTAAAGCATGCACGTTTACGAAAGCAGTGGAAAGTTGGGACCTTTTAATACTCCCTTAATCTCGACCACTCAACCCGGCCAAAATACAAAAACAAATGACTCTCTAACATACATAATATGGTCTACCATTTAATAATTTAAGCTTGTCCTATATACTGCAAGTGACATCAGTATATAGCCATGAATGCATATAATACAAAAACATTCACACATGATATACAATCAGACAAACATATGGAGGGAATTTCCAATATATATAAGCCCTTGATTTTATCAATTTGCCGGCAACAATTAATTAAACAAGACTAATGGAGGGAGGCTTTAAAAGAGAAATTAGTTTTGTATTGGATGGGTATACATTCACACATGTTTAATAAAAGTAATAATTTTTTTAATACTCTGACAAAGTCTTGTATTGGATGGTATCACAATTGTTGTGAGAGTGGAGTGACTTAATGACTCATACTTATCTGTTTTTGACCTTATTATTAAACAAATCGAATTCAATCTGTTTTGCTAATTTGTTTAACTCGATACTCTTGTTCGTTCAATCGCTATGCTAAAAGGCTAATAGCTATACTATCTGTAGTGTTGATGCAAAAATCCCTGTGTTCATATTAGCACTCCTAGGAGACATCCTCTTTGTAATTTTTGTACTGATTTACAACTAGTGCAAAATGCAATATATTAAGGATAGATGATTGAAGTCTTTTTTTTTTTAAAGAAAAGGGAATATATTAAAACTTAATAACCACAAAGAGTTTGAGAGATGCTGCCATAGCAACTCCAACAACCAAGCCAAAACATCGTATAATCAAAGCCATAAAAAAGATCCAAACCAAAATACATAGAAGAGACAAACTTAATCTCAATTTTAATTTAGCCATGCATGCATACCCAATTGTCAACAGTTGGTTCTCTTAAACCCATCGCCAAACAGTATAACAAGTCATAAAATTTAACCCTTAATTTCAATGGTTCGATTATAAATATTACTGTAAAAGTATGATTTTCAAGCTAGTACAAATGTAATATAAAACTAATCATACGAAATCGAAAAAAAAAATTAACAATAGAACAAAAATTATGGTATTTTTATCATCAAATTAATTAAATTAAAAAGTCAAACATAAAAGAACTACCAAGAAGGAAACAACACGCAAATTCTGCAGAGATGATGAGCGGTGGCTTCAGTGGCGGTGGTGGTTTCGGTGGCTTCTATGGCGGTGTCGGCGGTAGTTTAGACGACACAAAAACCGGAGCAAAGTGGCGATGGTGGCTTTAGTAGGAAGATAAGAAAATGAGCAATGGCTTTTGTGATGGGCAAGGGATTATGCGGAATTGGAGGAATGGAGGAAGATGGGAGGTTGATCGTAATTGGAGGTAATGGAGGAAGATGGGAGGTTGAGTGTAGTAGTGGCGGTACGGTAAAGCGTGAATTTCAATGTATAGGTGAATGAAATACAGCAGTTTTGCACTTACCAATTCTATTTTTTCATTTTTTTAATTTAATAAATAAAAAATAAGAAACCGGTTTTGGGGATAAAAGGATCCTTAAGTTTGATTAAATTTTAATACTA